GAGTCAAGGCTCTACAATTCAAAAATAAATAAGCACTACCAGGTTTTCACCTAACGCAGGTTGAAAACCCATCCATACTGGACGTCAGAAGATGGCTTTGGGTTTGCTGCAACAACATACCTGTCTTTTAGAAATTTTTTTCTGTGGTCAGCTGGCTTAAATCTGGTCACAGTGCTTTTATATCACAGTGCTTTTACATCACCTTGCCAAATACAGGTGTGATGTGAGTGTTCAGTGTTTTTTGGAACTGTAAAAAGCTACAGACCATCACTCCAGTACAGAAGAATCTTCTAACGGTAGTGACAGAATGTCACATCTCCCATAGTGTGTTATCTTCATCGTCAGCATATAGTGAGTAGAAAACTGTCATGACAGAGTTTCCTCTTGGCAGGATTTATGTCACCTAATTTTAAATATCTACAGCATAGATGTCAATGTAAGAGCTCATTATCCAAACTCCCCCTGCAATCAGTGGAGAGAAATGGGCACTTTTAAGGCTGAGCTAATCAATAATTCACCAAAGAAGGTGAAGGTACCTTTTTCCATTTGCAGTCTCTGGAAATCAATATGCTGGATGTGAGAGAGTCTCCATTCTTTGTGATATACGCCTCAGGTAACTAATCCTCTTGTTAGGTAGTTACAACTGTTTCAATGCCAACATTAAAACCCTTGCCAGAATTAATAACAATGGAATTTTTCTAGTATAAGCAATAAATGCCTTCTTTATACTTTCACTGCATTTAACAACAGTGTTTCAAGGTAATGTATATATAACTATTATAGAATGAGTTGGTAGTACCGCTTGTAAATATTTCTTAGGGCTGTTATGCTATTTTAGAGGCTTTGAGTAAATATATAGCTCTATCAAAAAGGAGCAGCATGGTTAAACAGGAGAGCAAAAGGAGGCTTTCATAAATAAAAAAGCATCTGGCTAAAAATGGGAGGTGGAAAAAGAGCATAACCTTGGCTGGTTAAATGTAAAACCAGATCGTATATAAACATAAAACCACTATGCAGCCCTAAGAAGATTCTGAGAAACATGAGAAACATCAACATAAATGGTTGAAGAAGAAAACCCTTTTCTCCAGAGTAGAGGTTCTGCCAGAGAAGCCGCATAGCTAATAAATGTGTAAAATACAAATGCAGGAGGAATGATAAGGCAGAAAAGCTTAATGAATTACATGCATTTGTGCTCGCTCTTTTGAAGAAAGTTTGATTTCTCCTTTATGGTGCCAAGGCTGAAGACCTGTCTTGTGTTCAGGTGCTCATGCTGTCTTGTGTAGGAGAAATGCTAGAATAAATAGAAATGAGAAGCAGATACAACAGAGCTAAAAATCAGTTGTTCTAATTTTGCATTAGAAACCAGTGCTGTCTTCCATACATCTAGGTCAGGAATCTTTGCTGTTAAATATATTCATAGCTGAACTAAAGAAGTGACCAGGAGTAGTGAATTGATCAATTTTTCTGGTGCTAAGTTATTTTTGAAGATGTTAGTCAAAATTAAAGCCGAGAAAAGTGTTTTGAGAATTGCTTTTGAATAGCTCCCTGAAAATGTCACCTTGGCACTCTGCGTGAGTGAAAAAGGCTGATAAAATATTGGGAATTATTAGTAAGAAAATGCAAGATTAAATAAAAAATTGCTATATGCCAGTGTACTCAATGGCACATCTACACTCACAATATGATGTGAAGTTCTATCCGTTTTCTCCTAAAAAGACAATATGGAACTGGGGAAAGCACAGAAGATATTGGGAATGGTCAAGTATGCATGGCCATGGAAGAGACATGAACAGTCTGTGACTTTTCCATGGGAAAAGAGTCAGAAATCATGGGACAGAAGTTTTAAATGGCAAGGCAGTACTAGTCCTTTCTCTGAACACAGCACCTACAAGGCATCAGATAGCATGGTTGTGCTGCGGATTGAGAGCAAACAAAAGGAAGTACTCATTTTGCACAATACACAATTAAGTCATGGGATCCATCGCTACAGGATGTTTCGTATGCCAAAATATATATAGGTTTAAAAAATGATTAGACAATTCACGAAAGAAAGGTCCGTTGAGGGCTACTAAACAGGAAGATGCTGATGTAACCTCCAGCTCCGGAAGTCCCAGGACTGCAGATTGCCAGGAGCTGTGAAAGATACTGGGGGAATGCTCTTAGAGTCTTTCTTTTTGCATCTGTTCCTGGTCACTGCCCTCTGGGGAGCAGGGAGCAAGCAGCAGTTATTTTCTGCTGTGGCTGTTGCATGCAGCTGGTGACAGACCTTTTTTTGGAATCTACGTCTTAGGATATTAAAAGTGAAAGGAGAACTGAATTTAATTCTCTTCATTCTTGCAGTTTGTCTATGTCATGCGTTTCACTCGGATTTGGAGGTGAAATGAGACCACTCGATTCCTTTCCATTACAGTGTGTTCAGTTTTCAGTGCTACCAAAATTATACAGAGTGTGGATTTCTGACATTCTGGGACAGTATTGCCAAATAAGAGTGAAGAAACTACCAAAAAATATATGAAACAAAACACAATACTCAAGGTATTTCTTTTAATGCTGAGTTCTACGGATGGCTACATTCAAAATGTCAGCAGTCAATTTTAGTTCATTGTTGTTTTTTTTAACCCAGTGCCTATTTTAAAACAATGTGGAAGCCCACTGCCTGGGAATTCAGCACCTTTACAGGAGTTTGATGCCTATGTCATTTTCTGGTAGGGGTTTTGAACTCTTCAACTGCAATTTCTCATAACAGGTATGCTGGGTATTCCTCCTTGGGAATTGTTCCTTAAAGGCAGACATAGAACAGGAAAGAGCAATTATAAAAAATCTATTTTAGGGAAAATCAATTTAAATATGAGTTACCCAGAATAAAACAAGTTCTGGTGGTAATAGCCAAGTGTAATCTTTCTATTAGATGGAAATGTAATGGGAAATAATGACTGGACCACTTGTTCTTCTTTATATTTTGCTGGCACACTAATGGAAGCCCTGAATTTACTCAGCTTATCTAACAGCTGCCATGTCCATGGAGAAGCAATGCAGCTGAGGAATCTAACCCCAGAAGAGAAATACCAGGTGGAACACACTGATATTTAGATACTCCATAGCATATTACAGAGATCTTCAGAATAACTACTAAGAACAAGTAAAACAGCAAAGATTTTAGAATTGATAGTAAAGATGGACTCTTAATTGAGGCAGGAAGATGATAATTTCTTATTAAATGAAGACTTTAGTTTCCTATTGTTAAAACTGTAGGTTGATGTCTTGACAATGGTTCAGTTTTCTTAAGATGATGTTCACTTTAAACCAATATTTAGAATATTAAATTGAAAGTATTATGCTGTCTGTGGTAATATATTGCTGTTAACATTTGTAATCCATATAACGTGCTGTTAAGGAGTGATATGATTAGTTGAAAAGAACCTACCAGGTCAGTTAGACAGGAAATCATTCGTTTTATTAGACATTTCTATACTTGGATAAAACAAATGATATTATTTGTTAGTATCATTTCAGATCAAATGTATGTCATGCTGATGTTACTGGAAAAAGATGGAACTGGAAACAAATTTTTTGTAGGAGCAACTTTTGCCCATTTTCAAAAAATAATGATGAAGCTCAAGGGAGGCTGTGTATTTTGGTAGTTTTCTTTGTTAATTTTTCAAATTGCTGCAATTTTTAATCTTTTCCCTATGTTAAAGTTAACAACAATATTAAAGTTATAAATTAGTGAGCATTCTCATTTGTAAGAATGGTATTTTATTTGTGAACATCTTCACTGCTAAAGCTCCACTTAAAAGCTCTTTAGATTTCTCCTCATTCCATTATTCCTGTTAGACATCTGTTTCAGAACTTCACTGATTATCAGAAATGTCCTCCACGTGTCTGCAACATATTTATGATTAATGCTAAGATTGTCTTTTGCTTAAGACTTCTTTTGCTTAAGACTGCTTTTGATTCTCTTCTTCCTATTTCTTATATGTACATCTGGAAACAGTAGCTGTATCTTCACAACCTTGGTTTTACTGGGTCGAAAAAACACCAGTCTGCAAAAATACCTCTGAAAGTTCTTAAGGCAGGCCATTTGCCACTCCATCCATCTCAGTAGTTTTCCTTTTTTTTTGATAAACCCCAGCAAATAGAGTTGTACCATTGCCTAGATAAATCCTGTTCTGTACCTTGCACCTACAGGGCTGGTGTCTTTGCTTGACTTGTATGTAATGTTTTTCTTTGCATAGTACTTTGTTAGGTTTGCAGATGGGGATTGAAGTGTCACTTTTGTGTTATTTTCAAAGATGGAGTTGTTTGAGTGCCCAGATAGTTCCTACTTACTGTGTTTCAGCGTTGTAGCAATTACATAGTGACAATTAACATTTCAGATATTTCTGTATGTTTCATTGACAGTCTCTGAAGTTTCTATGGGTAATGATGATTATGAGCCCATACAAATAGCTTATAATTGCTTTTTTTTTTTTTTGGAAAGAAAAAATACTATGAAAAGCATGATGATGCATTATTCAACTGTCCTTTTTCACATTGTAGATACCTACTGATGTCCATCCTCTGAACTCAGGTTGTTAACATTGCACAGAAAACTGGTTTATCTCCAAGAGGAATCCTGAGGCTCTTCTTGGTCTGCATAGTCAAACATTTGACCAATAATCTCCGTATCAGTTATAACGTGACCCTCAGCCCTGTCTGCCCCTTCTAGGTCATGCTCAGCTCTTGGTTGCACCACCTCCCTTTGCCATGAATCAGCTCTTTTTAGCTCAAGGGCCTGGCAGCAAGCACAGAATTGTGGGGCTTTGCTGCAGCCATGAAACCTTCCAAAACTTCAGTGGAAACCAGAGAATATATCAGTGTCAGGCTGGTCTGCAGCAGCCTCATTCAGGTCTGGGCGCTATGCCAGATTTTGTGTCGTTTCATTCCTTCTAACTTGCAATGGATAATAGCACTGCTGTGACCAATTTGGGAGGGTTTTTAACTTTTAAAGTACAGGCTGAAATCCTGCCACAGGATGAGAGACACTTCAGATGGTCAAATTCTGTTCCATCATGTGAAATGAAGTAGAGATTTCTCAAGCTTGCCATTAATTTTCCTTTACTTGTTAGTTAGCATGAGGCCAGTAATAACTAATTAGTTTAATAAGCAATATATATTGTCGTATTTTACACTATTGTCCACTTTACTGTTACTTGGACAAAATAGGCTATTTATTCTTTTTTAAGTGTTTTTGTTGTGCTTGTCATGCGTATAAAAATTTACAATCCCCCATACTTCGGTAGACCATTGATACTTACACATGGATGTTTGGAGGCTTCCTAGACCAGGGTACAAATATTTCTTGGAAATAAGGTGGGAATATTCTGTGAGAGGTTCTGTATCACATCTCCAAAGCCAAAATTGCCATTGGTTTTGAGAGACCAAGGTGTACAAAATTAAATATTAATAAATATAGTAAATACTTGGATTTCAGAAGAGAGATAAATATTTGTTGAAAGAGATATTTTACAGAAAATAATTTTAAAGAAGAAAGTATTATCTTTTTTAGTATTTAGTTTTCTTCTGGAGTTTTACTAAACATCCCCATTTACATTTGCTATAAGGAGTTTAAAAAACCCACTAACCCATAAAAAGGAGACAGTTTTCTACTAAGTTACCAGGTTTTTAGAGTGCTTTCTGTAGCAGTGCCTTTTGGTGTCCTGCCTGTTGATTTCTCCATGAGGGAACTGGCTTTAATCTGAGCAATTTGCTTGCTCCTTCTGCGCACCTTTCTTCTGCAGCACTTGTTTCTTGGGTAGTTGCCCCAAATGCAGAGCTCCAGAAGGATGTGTGAACCATTCCTCACTCTTACTGCCTGTACCCCCCAAGCAGCAAAGCCTTCCTTCTGTGGCACTATCACAGGTTTCTGGGTGGGTGAGGACCACTGGTAACATCCACAGCCAGGTTTGGCAGGTTTGATTTGTGCATCACGAGCCAGAAGCTAGGATTCAGGGCAGGGGCTGCTTTGGTCAGTATAAGGTGATCCTGGTGTAGTGTGGCACAAGGAGATTAAGTGAAGTGGTAGGTGGGGTGTTGCTTCACACACACACAAGAATGTACTCGTTGTAATTTATGCAGGGTTTTAGAAGGGTGTTATCTGATGTGCCTGGGCTACAAATGCAAATAGCAGAGCTCTGCAGTAAGGGTTAACACAGCCGTACCAAAGTCCTTGCTGACCTCAGGACAGCTGAATAGGGAGAGTCTCCTTGTGCCGTTTGGAGCCACTCTGCTTCCTGAGCCTGCGGGAAACGAGGGGAGGGGAAGGGAAGGGAACATGACTGCCAATATCTTCTTCTGGGAGGCTGCCAAGAGGAAGTAGCTTTAATTTCTGTGGAGGGCTCGGCAGTTCCCAACCATTGGAGCCATCTTTCTGGGAAGCACCATGCCTCTTCCAGGCACTTTCAGGAGGAGAGGCTGTGCACGCCTTGGTCTGGATTTTTATCCTTGGGGAAACACGGCTAGGAGCAGCACTAGTTGGGCACTAGTAAGAACATCTATATTGGGATGTGTAGGCTTCTGTTTTATTTTGGGCTGTTCTTTTGCCCTGGATTAATTTTTCCCCAAATTCTTCAGCTGGTCTGCTCAGTCTGTGCATGGGAAGCTGCCTGGGCATCTGCAGATGGATGAAGTACCTGTGTAGTGACTGGAATGAGATGGAAGGCTGCAGGGCAGCTCCTCACTTCCCTGCTGGGTAACAAAAGAAAGAGATCCTCTGGTCCCCATAATCTGAAGCTGTGGCTTATTAAACTAAATAACTTTGTTTTGTTTTGTTTTTTCTTTTGAGTTATTTATTATTACACCTTTGCTCAGTTATCGAATTGGAATTAAATGGTGGAAGAATTTGCTCTGCATGTAAATGACAGACTGAAACTACTTCTTTTTGCTGTGGCACTTTATACACAGTTTCCTTAAGCCCAAATGAGTAATCTTTCCATAATGAACTTGAGTATGTCTTTCACACGAGTAGTTCCAGTGACTTTAGTGAGATTTCATGCCTTAATAAGCAAGCGAGATTTTACCTTTGAGAACACCAAATCCTTTCGGAAAAATACTATAATGTTTAAGCAGAAAAGGAACCAAAGAATTTATAGATTAATGACTCAACCCTACAGAACCTAAGGGAAGGTTTTCATGGATTGTTTTAAACATCTGGTAACATTTTGCATTAATGTTATGTTTACATGGGGTTAATAAACTGAGCAGCAATAGGAGGAATGGTAGGGAAGCAAGCAAAACATAGGGGAAGAGGCAACAGAAATCTCCCTTAGTATGAATGGTAGTTAATGAGTTGCTCTCAGTTTGTAACACTTTATTAATGTTTTAATGGGCATATTAATAATTATTTCTCTTCATAAGGTATTACAAAAGTGATTTATTAACCTGCTTGTGCAATGTCTAGCACAGTAATACACGAGCCTGTTTGCGAAAGCTCACAACTGCTGCTGGAAGAGTGGGGCCTTTTTTCCTTTCTGTTGCAAGGATGAGCAGATGTTAAGGAATGCTTCACTATTTTATGATAGAGGTTTATAAAAGCTAGCAATATGTATTGAAAAGTCCATAGGTATGTGTTCTGTTACAGACTGAGAAAAGAAACAAATGACATCCAGGCTTTTAAAGAAAAGTAAAAATTGCCTAATTTAAAGCTGTGGTCAGAAGACCAAAAATAACATGCAGAATATTGATGTCTGATTCCTGAAAGGATGTGTGTATGGTGTTGTAAATGGCTATCAATGTATGGGAAAATGAGAGCTTGATTTAGAACAACTCAGTAGGGGAACATTATGCGAAACACTAGGAAAACATGGAGAAGTGAAGTAGACTTCCGAAGTGTAGCAATTCAGGCTGCAATAATGAGAACTTTTTATGAAAGAGAGAAGATGCGCATAACTTACCTTTGATAGCCTCTCCTTGAGTAATAATTATGCATGATTTCTACAAAAATGCTCTTCTCATAAGCAGCCTATGGATATAAGAAACTATATTACTAATTTTTCACTCTTTGTAATGTTTCTAATCATCATCAATGGGCTTCATTATTATTCAGTTATTCCATTTTAGAAAAGCCTGCCAGTTATGCCAAATTAGGTAGGGAGATATGAGATTCTATGGATGTTTCTTTGCCAGATAGTAGAATGATAAGTGACAATTTTTCTTGCAATATGAGAAAAACGGATTGTTACAGATTCAGAACCCTTTATGACTAGCTAGAAACATTCCAGGCTATACCTGCAAGCAAGAACATTTGAATCACAAAATTATGAAATGCAAACTCAGAACGGTATAAAACACTACTCTTGGGTTTACAGTTTTTACCAAGTGTTTGGTGTAGTAGCCAAGCAATCTGTGATTAGCTCTTTGGTAAAGACTAAATCCATAGGCTTATTTTTTAAATCTCTCCTATTGCTTTCTAACTAGCACAGTTGCTGGAATTCCTTTATGACACAAGTTTTCATTTTCCCCATTCACAAGCACATACCCTGTCAGAATAGTGGGTACCTGATTAAAATGGTTATCAGTGTCACCGTAACGCACAGTCATTTTCTGTTGCCTTTTCCCCTTGCTGGCTAAGGATACGCTGTTCTTATTTGCTTAATAAATGGGCAGTTCAGGATCTTCATTTTTTTTATGCTTGCTGCATATTCGTGTTTTATTATTATTTTATTCTATATATAGATTTTACATTAACATTTGATGAATCTTCCACATAAATGGTAATGCTTTCTATAATTCATATCACTCTTAATATGTACGATTTGCATATATTATCCCAAGCAATAAGCTAGTAAATGAATTAAATAAGCCTTGGTAATAAGAATGACATATCTGAGCCCATTTAGACAACAAAAAACAATGCCTTACCAAAGCAGGGTATTGAGAATACACAGACACCATCTCAGAATACACTATATATTGTAATTCATTCCAACCCCTGTTGCAAAGACACGTACAACTTCAAAGAATGAACTAGTGAAATAAACAACTTAAGGGTAATATTTTCAATTCTTTTAGAGAGCACAAATATAATTTGAATGTATTCTTCAAGAGCAAACTCTCCAGTGTGTTTTATGTGGTTTTTATTAATTTTGAAACTAAAAACATCAATTATATCAATTATATAAAAGCAGCAGTGAAAGAATTATAATTGCTTGCATTGTGCAAGCTATGCAGGGCTTCCAACTATTATTCCTCCTTGTGGACCTGCCACAGAACAACCATTTAAGGAAGAGAAACCTGTGAACACTTAAGAGTGATGGAGCAGGAGTGTTAAAACTGGGTAGGTTTCTGTATGTCTGCTTGACCTGATAACATTCGTGTTGCTATCCATTATACTGGGTAGTTATTAACCAGGTAGGAAAGATGCACCTTCTGAAAGCTTCAAGGGATCCACATAGATCGTGTACAGCCCATCAGGTTTGCAAAGAAAAAAATAAAGGCTTAATACCATTCCTGCAAGGAACTACTATCATATGACCTGAATCATAGAATCATAGAATCATGGAATTATAGAATGGTTTGGGTTGGAAGGGACCTTAAGATCATAAAGTTAAATGGGCAGGGATGCCTTAACTAGACCATGTCGCTTAAGGCTCTGTCCAACCTAAATATTATTGGGGAAGTATTTATTCCTTTAGTAATCATTCAGTATTAATATTAATTTACCATATTATTAAATTTCTTTTTTGTGGTAATGTTGTTTGTGCGGGGTTTTTAATTCTTTTTCCCTCAGTGATTTATATTTAGGTTTTTTGACTTTTTTTTCTGGTTTCTCAGAGAGTCTAACATTAGCTTCACAGGAGCTATTTGTGATTTACACTATTTTCATTGTACTGGAATTATTCTCAGCAATTTATTGTGATATTTCTTTTCCCTGTCCTTAAAATTGTTCTTTGCAACATGGAATTTTTTTGCTTTGCCTACACAAATTCATTATTTAAGGCTAAACTTCTTTGTTTTGATGGGAAAGAAAGTTGTGCCTGTACAATGAAGCCATTACACTTGTGGTACATTGAGAAAATGTGTTTATACATTTACCCCAGTGTAATTTTGTCTGGTTAAATAACTTCAGTGTGATGTTCTATGGTGTATTTCTTTTATTAGAATACCAAATCTTCCAACACTGCTCTGCACCTTCACAGTTAGATCAGTGTCTGGAGAGACACATATGTTCATTACAAGCTATATTTGATGGATGTGCCATTCTGTTTCCCTGGTTGCTCTTGATAAAACTTAAACAAAAAATGCAATTAAGACAAAATGGGTAATAATTCCCTCAGAACTTCAGGGGAATATCGCAAACAACCTTAGAAAACCAGCATGTGTTTTGTTTTACTGGTGCTTAATTCCATATAAAGAGCCAACTCACATTTGAATCCAGTTCTGCTCAACCATCTAGGTGAAGAGGCAGCCTACTCTGGAATGGAACAATCCCAATCTATTTTATAGCAAAGGCAGAAGCTTTCCTACAGCTGAAAACCCCATATGGAGAACACTCTACTGCCAAATTTCTATCTATTAAGCTGAACAGGATCCAGCAGATATATATATGTGTATATACATATATATATATATGTACAGTGGCTCCCTTGATTACAGTGATGACCAAAATGTGCAAAGAGAAATGTGTTCTTTTAAACAGACAGCACCTAAGACAATTTAGGCTTGAAGCATTATAAAATTCGAATTCCACCTGGATACATGTAATCGTCAAGGGACAAAACCCTGAGATCTACCATTTTATGCTTCTGGTAAGATTCACTGCCTACCAGGGAGTAAAGCATTTGCTGCATTCTGCACTAGCCAATTTCTCTAGCTCATTTTAAAGTGTAATTTAAGCCTCTTTCTTTTTTATTCTTCACCATGCCTCTCTGATTGCAAAACCAGTTTTCTGACTCCCAACTGCTGGTAGGATACATCCACTGTCTGAATTTAGGGGGAAGGCTTATGTTATATTTGGATGCAGGTAACCCAAAATTGCCACATTATGAACAGTTCAATGCAGACTTCCCAAGAGAAAGGCTGGATCCTTGCGGGCTGCCAAACTTGGCCTATGAAGCAACTTTACTTGTAGTCAGGGGAAGTAGCTTATAAGTAGATCTGTTCAGTCTCCATGCACACCTTTGGTGTCGTTTTTGGAAAAACCTGGCTAGTTTTGTCATTTCTGAGCCCTCCTTACAGAATCTCTGAGCTGATGGTGAAAGCAACTCAGAAGCAGTGACTTAACTAGCATTTAGTACAATAAATGCAACTGGTTACAACAGCAGTTTAATCCAACTGGGGAGCTTCTGTGGCCAGTTTATTGCCTTATCTGGTCTGGGAGCAGTCCAAATAATACAGAATACTCTGAGACAAATTCAAACAATTTGGTTGCTACAACACAGCACCTGGCAAATTGTAGCTCTGTGCCACATGGGTGTCAGGTGTCATTGAATGTGTACATTTTGTTGATGTCCGGCATTCAGTTTAGCAGCTGGTCTCACCCAAGTAACAAGCCCTGGTCTGGACAGTAGTAAGGGTTTAAGCTTCCCATTGATTTTAGGTATTGAGATATTGAAGACACAGAGCCACATAAGTACCTGCTTCAAATCAGTGTGTCAGCCAGAAACAAATAGGCTGTCTGTGACTAAGATGCAGTCATTAGAAGAGAATCTGGAAAACTGTTCCATGTCCTGGCCAGTATAGAGATGGGGTGACGGGACTCTCTCTTATTGCTACTTCATTTATAGTGTCAGGTTTATGGAAAGTCTTTGAGAGTCAGTGGAATGTAGGC